AGTGTTGCCATAAGTCAGAAACAACTTGAAGGCACACAACAACAACAAAGTGAGGGTGAAGGAGTTGAAGCCTGAAATCACAAATATCTTCTATTAATTAGACAATAACCTATTACGTCTCTGAAACAGTGGAAGAAAGGGACTAAAGATCTAACTATGAAAGTAGGGAAGTTGCTGTTTTGTGCTAGACGTTCCCATTATTTCCCAACAGCCAAATACTTCCCACCCTTTTTCATTGACTCCTTCTCTGGCTGCCTTTTTGGTCATGTACTTTTGACACCTTCCCTGGCACTGGCACATGTGTTTACCCTGATTCTATGTCCACAGCAGCAATGGTTTTATCACAGCTTTGAGGAAGAAGCAAGACAGAAGCACTTGCATAGTGCTTTTTCACCCCATTTTTCTTAAAGCAATGCCAGCAACTTTTTTTTTTTAAAGAAGTATCTTATCACATTCCTCAGCAGTTCTGCCTGTTTCACAATTTGTCTCTTTTCTGGGGACCAAGACTGTCCCTCTCATTGGGGCAAGAGAACCAGTTCCATTGGAGGATTGTGTCTGTGGAGTTTGTTTTATTTTCTTTGTGTTCCCAAAGGGAAGGGGGCAGTTTGCCTTCCATTCAGAACCTCAGATTCATAAAGAACTTTGTAGAACAGTGGGCCCACAATATCCACAGGCTCAGGATCTTCAGATTCAACCAACCACAATATCAAACTACAGGATTGTACACAATACAATATTTAATACAAGTAGCATAGTATGTACAGTACTTTATTTGCAATACTGGAGAGGCTCTAGGCAGAAGTGGATGGGTAGCATGCTCCCCAGAGGCAGGGGAGCCCAAAGAATGTACACATGGTGGCCAGGGCTTGCTAATACTCAGCTGTTGCTCTATGCTATCTTATTAATAGGGAGTAAATCATCCACTTTTTTTTTTTGCTATCTGTGCAGGGTCCTGGAATCAAACCCCCATGGATACTGAGAGTCCACTCTATACAAATCTAAACCTTGCCCCGTTATTTAGGAAGCCCTCCAGAAGAACAATTTTCTGGCTTCTATTGATTTAACAGTTTTATTTTCATGTAGTGATAGTCCCAAGGAGCAGGATACTTGTGAGGTTTTCTTACAACTCACTCCATTTTCAGTTCAGAGTAATGTTAGAACATTTCAGTGGCAGAATGCCAACATATAACATCTTCTAATTTCTTTCTCCAGGTGGGAGGTAATCATTTCAGTGGGGAGCAAGTCAGGCCAATTTAGGGAGTGGCTCCCCATCTGCTTAGACTTGTAATGACTGTGGTCAATCCTATATCATCCTTCAGTGCTAAAAGACATATTGCTTAGAGGAAGGAATATACTCAGCATAAACTGATGGGAGCTTTAGGCAGCTGGTGAAACTGCAGGTTTTCTCACTTCGTCTGTTGAATCAGAACATAGTATTAAGGACTGACAACAATGCAACAAGGGATCACATTTTTGAACAGGGTGAATGTTGACTACATTCCCGTTACACAGAGGCATCCCTTCTATTCAAGTGGATGGAGAAAACAGTACTGTCCATATCATCCCCGTTTGTTCAGGGCTTCACAGATTTGGGGATAGACTTTCTCAACCTGAACACATCACATCCAAAGTCTTCCTTCAAATTCTTGGATCCCATCTCAGGAGAAAGGTGTAAATGTAAAATAAAATAGAGGACAGGATGCATGATGCCTTGAGGGCCAGCCACAGACTGTTCCACTAGGGTTTATTGCCCATAGGTTTTCTACAGTTCTGTCTCCCTGCCCAACTGGACCACTTCCACTCTGTCAATTTCCACTTCTGTTATTCCTTGTGTGAATACTGTTGATGTACTGTTGATGAGGGGGGCATTGAGATCTCTTCAGACTGAGGAAGGTATGGTTTTCTGAAATAACAGGCTTTTGAAGAACCATGGTTTCTCTCTGTACCTCTAGTCCAACACTGTCAATGTCTTGTCCTGCATCCCATTCTAGCATCAATCCAGCTCTGGAGACTTAGTGGCAAGTCCTAATGAGTTTTGGCTACTCAGAGAAATGTGTCAGCCCTGCCATCCTCCCATCAACATTGGACAACTAGAATTTATGAGGCGGTGTAGGGAGTATTTACAAAGGGGTAAAAATTCAACAGTTTTGACTACCACAGAGCTTCCTTGTCTAACTTCTTTTGTTTTGTTTTTTCAAGCAGTATTAGAGCCCAGACTTGGACTAAACACATTGAAAAACCAGGCAGAAGCCCTTTGTCAGTTCTTTTAAAGCCAAAGCAAACATGTCTGTTTCTTTATCCTCAGTAAAACCATTTCAGAATGGTGCTTCTGTAAATTTACCACCTACAGTGCATCATTTTCGTGCATTGTGTCTCCTGATAGTATAGAAGGCACTAACAAAATCATAATTTGAAGTGTGAAACTGGGTTTCACTATGTTGCTGTCATTCAGGGAAATTTTGATTCTGTGATTCCTAGTGGCTGGGACTTTGGCGAGACAAGTCTCTGAACTTTCTGTTAGAGAGCAGTTTTGCACCTTCTATCAGGATTTTGTTTCTTGGCCAAAGGTTCCTTCTTTTCCTATCTCCCAGAAATTCCCTCTCCCCCCCTCCCCCCCCGTCCAAAGCCATTGTAATAATTGGAACTAACATGGCACGATCTTGATGTAAGTCTCATGTATATTGCTAGAGCAAAATCATTCAGAAAGTAAGATATCTTGCTCATTTTGTTTCACTCTATCTTTGGAGGAATTAAGTCCCAGGTCTCTCTTGACCAGATGGATAAAGGCATGTATTTCCATGGCCTATGATCTTGCAAAAGTGCCTTGGTTCATCCACCTTACAGCTCCTTCCACTAGCGCTTCTGTCATGTCTTCTGTCATTTCTTCCAGTGCATCACTTTTAGAGATCTGCTAAGCAGTGGAGTACATTGACTACTTTCCTCAGGCTTACAATATTGATACATTTAAATCTTCAGAGAGTCACTCCTTCTCATAAGGTATGTGAAGTCTTGGGTGCCTCCCATTTGTATGGATTCCTCCTCTTGCCAACCCAGAGAGTGATACATTAAGTACTTACCATAAAGGTTCATTCTGGGTTGGTAAAGAGGTCAGACATCACTTGGAATACTGTGTCCAGTTCTGGGCACCACAGTTCAAGATGGATATTGGCAAGCTGGAACATGTCCAGAGGAGGGCAACCAGATGCCCTATGAGGAGTGATGTAGGGAGCTGGGTATGTCTAGCTTGCAGAAGGAAAGGTTAAGAGGTGACATGATAGCCATGTTTAAAGATTTGAAGCGATAGAGCAAGTTTGTTTACTGTTGCTCCAAAGACTAGGACGTGGACCAGGGGATTCAAGCTACAGGAAAAGAGATTCCACCTAAACATGAGGAAGAAGTTCCTGACAGTAAGAGTTGTTTGACAGTGCAATAGGCTGCATCAAAGTATGGTGTAGTCTCCTTCTTTGGAAGTTTTTCAATAGAGGCTGGATGATCATCTATTGGTAGTAGTTTGGTTGTGTATTCCTTCATGGCAGGGGATTGGAATGGATGGCTCTTGGGAGTGTCTTCCCAAGATTCCAAGAATTCATACCTTCCTCATTGTGACTATCAAGTTAACAGATACTGTGGATTGATTGTTTATTTCCTCCAGTTCCTCTTTCTTGTTCCTTATTTGCTTGTCTCTCTATACTCTTATGAGCAGCTGAAAAAGCAGATGGCTAGTCTGACCAAGATCTCTTGACTTTTCTGCCTCTCTCTGGGTGGTGATGGGTGTAAGCCATTCTGTGTAGTTGTATCGTCTCTACCAAATGAGAATGAACCTTAATAGTTATTACTCAGTGTTTCATTTTCTTTCTTTTGGTGGTGGTTTCCAAAGAACCGGAAGTGAGCAATTAACCTGGAGAATTGGTAACAGAGAGAGGGTTTTACACAGCAAAGAACAGGTCAGAATTAGACCTTAGGGCAGAATATATGCTACGGTTTGTTAAATTTTAACTATTGTTTATTGTTTGACTTTTAATGATATTGTTATTTAATACTGTTTTAAGGGGGTGGATATCTTGTCATTTTACTGTTTTTAATTTGTAAACCGCCCGGATTGGGAAACCATTGGGCGGTATAGAAATAAATTTTTTTAAATTATTATTATTATTATTATTATTATTATTATTATTTATAAGCAAATGAAAGCTCACCAGAATTTACTTATCTTCTAAAGATTTTGTGCTTATCTACAAGGGGAAAGTGTAATGTGCAGCAACCCATCCAACCTACCTTCTTCCTTCCCTGTCAGAAGCTGATTGCATAAGCTGAGTCAATGGTTCTGAATACTAAAACGTTCTGAAAGTTGGTAAGGATCTTGCTTGGGACACTTGCAACCCTGGTGAGGATTGTTTCAGATGGGTGTGTTTTCTAAGTTCCTCACAGGACTCAAAAACCTGTGAGGATGTAATTGGAACAGCTTTGTCCTTCAGGCCATAGTAACTAGTAACTTCTTCTGCCTTCATGGAGAAAAGCAAGCTGGCCAAACAGACAAGGATCCTGTTGGCACCAAATCTGTGTGGTGGTGAATAAAAGCTGGCAAGGCTGACCTGCTTTCACCCTCTTCCAGCATACATCCCTTTACATGAACAAAGGACCAAAAAGCAAAATTAATGAACGTTAAAGGAAGAGTCTTGCTGTGATGCTAATGACTGCATGAAACCAAGAACTATTTCGTTATCCTTCCCAACACTTTTTGCAAATTAGGACTGTCTCAGCATGGTATCTGTCACTCCCAACTTGCCAACTGAGAAAAAAAAAGTCCAGAATTGTCCTTAGTTGCCCCTAGCCTATATGGTGCCATGAATGAGTCTTAATCAACAGAGGCCGAAAGTTGAGCATGTTGTAGTTGGTGTATTTCCATTTCCCTTTTGTTGTGAAAAAAGTGGAGCAGAGGGAATACCAATCTGTGGCAAATATTATGTAAAGGCCAATGGGGCTTTGGGGAGAGGCTCTGTACTCAGGAAGAAAGAAACCTTTTCCTTGACTGCAACATTCTGCAATTTTCTGTGTAACAAGGAGGACTAGATACTTCAGCGGTAGGCAACCTAAGGCCTTGGGGCGGGCCAGATGCGGCCCCCCGAGGCCTTTGGACTGGCCCCAGGCTGGTCCTGCCACTGCCGCCGCCGCCGCCCACCATGATGATATTGATTATTGTTGTTATTACTTGTTCTTGGGGTTTTCTTGGCAAAATTTCCACAGGGGTTTTGCCATGGCTTTTCTGGGGCTGAGAGAATGTGCATGCTTTTTTTTATTTTTATTTTTATTATTATTTATTTATTATTTTTGGTTCTTCGGCCCCCCAATTGTCTGAGGGACAGCAACCCGGCCCCCGGCTCAAAAAGGTTGCCTACCCTTGAGATACTTGGTTCTCTTTCAAAATATGAAAAGCCCAACCCCATAATTCAGATGCCTGTTATATAAAGGTTACTATGCTTTGCACTCAGCTGTGCAATAACAGCTACAGATATATGTCTGCCAATGTGCCAACCATAATTCACTTGTTAACAGATCTAGATAGCATGCTGGAATTGTGATTAAATAACACTGACCACCTTGAGCTATTAGTTCTGAAGTGGAAAGATGGATTCCCTCCCTGCCTCGAAATTACTGAAAATTATGTATTCTACATAATAAGTATCTGCTGTCCCCCTTCTGTGAATAAGTAGACACTCTTTTAAAACCATTGAATCCAGAGGCCATCAGTGGACCTTGTGACAACCACTTCTCTAAGTTATGTGCTTTGTGACAAACATTTCCCTTTCTTCTTCTTCTTCTCCTTCTCCTTCTCATCTCCATGTTCAGTCAGTATAAGAGTAATTTGAGCAGAAATTCTCATTGGAAACTAACATGACTAAACTGAGGTTAGTAAGTAGAGAGATCTTGTGGCACCTTTGAGACTAATTGTAAGAAAGAAGTTGGCAGCTTTTGTAGACTTAAGTCTACTTCCTAAGATGCATTTGGTAGAGTGGAAACCTATATATGCCATTAGTATGTGAGAATGTCAGTTCAAATTGTCTGACATTGGGAATGGGAATACACAAAAACCAGTAGCAGAACATTTCAGTCTCCCTGGGCATTCCATCTCAGACCTCAGAACAGCAGTCCTTCAACAAAAGAACTATAAAGGTAGATTGGAAAGAGAAACAGCAGAATTGGAATTTATTCAAGAACTACAGTCCATCAATGGACTGAGGCTTGCCATAAGTCAGAAATGACTTGATAGCAAACAACACAACACAGAGACTTGTTGCAGGTATGGGCAACCTTAGGCACTGGAGCTGAATCCGGCCCTCACAGAGTTGTAGTCTGGCCCACTAAACTTTCTCAGATGATGCTGTCCTCTTCTGCATGATACTCTCATTTGGTGGCTTCCCAGCTTTTGTATGTTTTTCCCTGTTCTGAAAGGTTGAAATAACCCTCGTAAGGCTTAGCTGCTGTCACTAAGACCTTTAGACTAAAATATGCTGATATTCTTAATCCCACTCTTTTGCCTTTGGCCCAATCCAACACTGGAAAACTTCCGCACCACAACCTTGCTGAAAGAGAGTCCTCACCTGTATCCTATTGTGTAGTATTTATAATACTTGAGTGCAGAAACTAGATATTTTTGGCCATGGTCTGTGGTAATCCAACACATCTGGAAGGTGCAAGGGGGGGATCTTCCAGTATAACAGAGCAACTCACTTCTGTCCTATGGGATAAAAATGAATTCAGCAGTGCTTTTGGTATGTGAAAAACTCCTATTTTACTGTCATAGTAGTAAGGTGGCCACACCTTTCTGATTGTATTCAAGAAAAGAAGTCTCCCTTGTTAGATAATTCACAAGACATATTTAATGTAGCACTTTCTTTACTATTTAATTACCTTTCCCTGTTCCTAAGGAGTTTTCTACTTTAAGTAAAAGGAACCAAGATATAGAAGATTGTAGAGGCTTGCGGGCAGGAGGGAGGGTGCTTTGTAATCTGGAGTGAAATTAATGAATTTTACAATTAAAAATCAAAACTCTTGTTTAGTCTGAAGAGAAACAAATTTCCTTCAGCCAGCACCGCACAACTGTTTCTTGTTTGCTTCCCCTCTGTTTGATTGTTGTTGTGTTCTGTTAACTCTCTTGGGCAGGGGGCTCGACTTTTTGTTGAATGAGCTGATTGTTTTCCTTTTGTGTTGCCCGTCAAGTGAGTCCCCATCTGGTTTGCATCAGACTGTTTTCACAGCCAACAACTGCTGCCTTTTCTATATCCTGACACTTAAGGGCCCCCACGCTATCAAAGCATTGCCGTGAGAGCCTGTCTGGCTGGACCCATGCAGCTGTGCCACAGCAGCTTGAAACTATTAGCCAAATAATGGCAACTTAGAACTTGAATCGGCCCTTATTCCCATTGGTGTCATGTAAGTACAGTGAACAATGCAATAATGCTGCACCCTCCAAGTGAGTTTTGGGGAACCCCTCCCTTTTCCACTTATAATTTTCATCCCTCATTTTAAAAGTTTTTTTTCCCATTTACAACAGTTTCCTGTACCCAAGAGTACCAGTTTTTTCTAAAGGGTGAAACATTTGTCTGTCTGTGTATGCACAAACAGAAAAACCATTAACCCATTTTCCCATGGCATTGTTCAAGGTGTGTGTGTGTGTGTGTGTGTGTGTAACTTTATTTTCTTTTTATTATGAGATTCCTAGTAGAAACAAGGATGCATTTTATTTAATAAATAGAGTTCATGTGAAAATCTCAAGAATTGTTTGCAGAACCTGGCTTTACATTGACCAATGTACATTCTGTGTGAAGAATTCTTAACCTAGTGCAGAATTGTAACCATGGGTGGTGTAGTAATGGTTTGAGCGTTGGACTATAACTCTGGAGACCAGGGTTCGAATCCTGGCTCAGCCATGTAAACCCACTTGGCCAAGTCATACTCTCTCAGCCTCAGAGGAAGGCCCTCACTTTCGGAACAAATCTTGTTCAATATAAAAACATATAAGCTTAAAAACTTCAGTAAAAAGCCACATTTTTATTGGGCACCAGAATGACGCCAGCGTTGGCACCAGGCAGGCCACTGTGGGGAGGATATACCAAAGCTGGAATGCCATAGTAGAAAAAATTCCCTTCTACATCCCCTCATAGTGTGTTGCCCCTACTGGGGGATACACAAAGGAGAATCCCACCTGCAGATTTTCCTGCTACTATGTGTATCTGCCTGTGATGGGGTCTGAGAACTGGAGTCTTAGAAGGTAACTTTTCCAAATTTTATTCAGCTATTCAGTCCTACCATGATCCAGTGCAGTTGCAGTTTCCTTCGAGGAAGAAGATGAGTCTTTCCTTTAACTGTAAGATCCTTGAGGCTCTTCCCACCCTTGAATATCCCAACTGACTATGCCCACAGAAAGCTAGATTTTCACCAGGTTCTGTACTGTCAGTGGTAATCCAAATGATGATCCCTAGTATTGATCCTTGAGCTATTGACAGTCATTCCTTCACAAATTTCTATGAAAGGAAAAACAGTTGTTCCTAATGACCACAAATTTAGTATGAGTCTCTGGCACATTAGAAAATAATAATTGTCAGTCCCTACTTCAGATATCCTGAGAAGGACTGCGAAAAGAGATCCAATGAAGTTGAGAGATCCTTCTTTTTCTTAGATACAGCACTTCAAGCTACTCTTACTTCCTATTATTTGCTATTATCAGTTATGATAGGCTACAGTCTTGGTTAGTTGGAGGGCTCTCTTAGTTGGAGGTCTCTCATTCATAGGATCATGGTAATTGAAGTTGACTTGATAACAAACAACAATAAAATATTGGTTACATATCCTCCTGGTCCTCTTCTCCTGGCTGGCAGAGAGACATCAGTCTGTTGTCTGTCTCCATTCTCAACTCTGCCACATTTCTTTTTTGTGGTCTCTGTGAATCACACAAATGGGTTATTCTGTGCATGTGCAGTGAAGCTTGGAAACTTTTGATATCACTAGGCAAAACTCCATTTGCACCTCTGCCCTCTCCATATAAGTCTGGCATCTTCCTACTCTTTCCCCGTTCCTTGCGTCTGCCATATTAGCTGCTAGGAAGAAACATCACTGCTCAGTATTGCATGTTTCTCTCCACTTGACTGTTTTGGATTTTACTTCTTGCTTGACTTTGATGACTATTTGGAATTTGGACTTGACTCTGTTTGCGAATCGCTTGACCTCAGACTGTTTGACCTCAATTTTCAATTTGGCTTTGGCTTCAATTTCAGTTGAAAATGTCTTCGCGCTCCTTCAAGTGCTGTGGGAAGTGCGGTGGTAAGATCCCTGTCTCTGACCCGCATTCCTCTTGTCTCCTTTGTCTGGGCAAAGGGCATAATGTTCAATCCTGTGCCCTTAGCAGGTCCATGACTTCCCAGGACCTTCAAAATAGGGACAAGAGATTGAAGGCTGCTCTTTATGAGCATGTATAGAGGCCCCATCCCATTTCTGTGGCTTTCACTGCTTCTGGGGACCCTCAGCCCTCTATGTCGGGAACTGAGAAGCCCAAGGAGAGGGGAAGACCTAAGGAAAAATTTCCCATCCCTGGATATTCAAGTCTAGTGGGGACTGCTCTAATGAGGACCCAAAGTCCAAAAAAGCCTCCAAGAGGAAGCACTCAGCAGACAAGGATTCTTCCCCCAAAAAGGGAAAATCCTCATCAAAGGCCCTTTATTGTGCCAGTTCTTCCTCGTTGCGAGCCCCGACTACCTCCCAAGGCGATGAGGGACCCAAGACCAAGTCTCCTTCAGGACCAGCCACACAGGCTGCTACTCCAGGCAGTGCTCATGTCGAGCCCTAGCTGTTGACTCTGCTGCCCAATACACCTGCAGGCTCACTGGAAACATCCCAGGTGATTGATAGTGAATTGGCCTCGGATGAGGACATTTGGGACCATTGAGATGACCAGAATCATGAGCTTCTGATCTTGACACTGGCCCATGAAACCTTTGTCAATATGGAGCGTGCTTGGGACCTATCTACCCTCGGGACTGAGGCAGATGATGCGGCTCATGAGGAGGCCAGGCTTTATAAACATTTTCCAGACCTTGTTTATGATAAGCTTCTGGGCCGCTACCTGTTGCCAGTAGGCCCTGCTCTCCTTCACCACCGCCTGAAGGAAAGCAGGTCACCCTCACCACTCCCACTGAGACAGACCATGGTACAAGCCCAAGTTCATCAAGCCTCCACTCCAGACCATGTGCCGATCCTGAGGTCTCAACAGCCTCAGCTGAGACCACTGCCTAGAACGCCTCCAGAGTCTCCTGTATGTTCCCGACGCTCCACCTCACCGGTATTGAGGCATTTGCTTTCCATATCTCAATCCTGATCAGCCTCTCCATCTTTGGACCTTGAGATCTCACACTCGCCTCTACAGCTGGTCAACCATGATCTCGTCTTACCATCTGCTGATGTTAAGACTATACAGATCAGGTGGTGAGGGTGGCAATGCTCTGGAGGTTGAGCTCGTTAGAGCGGATGAGGATGCCGTAGACTCTATTGCGCGCCAAGTACACGGCAAGGTACCTATACCTCTAGCCCTGGGATTTTTACCCTTGTAGTAGATTGCTAAGTAGTCGTAGAAGACCCCAGCCACCATCGTTTCTACCTCCAGGAAGATTGAGAATCTGTGCAGGATTGCTCCACCTCCTTCTTCCTGGCTGTTTGAGCACCCACAACCCAACTCAGCTATAGTGGAGGTGCACAACTGATGCCCACCTTAAAAACCACTTTATCACCAGTGAATATAGAGGGTAAGAAAATGGACAGGCTTGCCAAGACGTTTTATGTCCATGGTGCTTTACTTAAAAGTGGCCAACTACTCTGCTTGCATGGGGGCATACCAGAGCACATCATGGAATGGATGCTCCCATTGCTTGATGATCTCCCTGAGGAAAAGAGACCCTTGGCCCTTGCCCTCCAGGCCAAGGCCCACTCCATCGGGGCTCAACAGACATTCAGCAGATAGTGCCTCCAAAGTGTTGGGCTTGATAGCTCTCTGACATCATGCCTGGCTGAAGTCTTCAGACCTAACACCTCAGGCCAGGGCACTGATAGAGGACATGCCCTTTGATGACTCCGGATTCTGTAACAAAAGACAAGAAGTTGAATTTCTGGTACCGGATGAAGACAGCGGCCCGGAAACATGGTATATCCTCTTCAACCTACCAACCATCCCAGCGCCATCATCCATGGTACCCCCCGTACAAACAATGGTCTTATCCAGCCCAAGACCTGTCAGTATCACCACGACCAGCCCAGACAGCGTCACCCCTCTCAGTCCTCTTCTTCTGGTCACAGACAGCCTGCTCAATCCCGGACTGCCATGGATACTGCCAAAAGAATCTGGAGCAGGGAAAGAAGACGACATGAGATGGCTTGGCACACTTTGTTAACACTCCCTTTGGAGACAGACTGAGGCCCTTTTACACTGCTTGGGCCTCCATAACATCTGACTTGTAGGTTCTAGACATTGTTTGTAGGGGCTATGCCCTCGAGTTAAAGAGCTCCATGTCACCAGAGCCATAGTCTCCACTTCCCTCTCGAACACCTTACTCAACAAAGTGCACTCTTTATTGGAGAAGGGCGCGATGGGGCCTATTGACCCTGCTCGATCCTGCTACTGTTTTTTCTCCCATTACTTCATTGTCCTGAAGAGTGATTCAGGCCTCAGGCCCATTCTGAACCTATGACACTTGAATGAGTTTACCTTTTACCACCTTTTCCATATGGTAACTCTCGCTTCTATCCTGCCACTTTTGCAGAAGGACTTGTGGTTCGCGACCCTCAAATTGAAGGATGCATTGGGATTTAAAGCCCTAAATGGCTTGGGCCCAACTTATCTTCGGAACCACCTCCTCTCATATAATCCTCTCCGCGCACTCCGGTCCTCTGGGAGGATCATCTTCCGAGGGAAGGTAATGCTGCTCCAAACGGACAACACCACAGTGATGTTCTACATAAACAAACAGGGAAGCACGAAGTCCCTAACCTTTCTTGAGATCACCTTGCAGATCTGGGACTGGTACATCCCAAGAGAGATTGCACTACAGGTATTCACCTTCCTGGAGAAGACGACAAATTGGCAGACGAACTCAGCTGAACTTCAGGCTTGTGCCACGAGTGGCATCTCCACCCCAAGGCAGTATCCAGTTTATTCCAGTCTTGGGGGACTCTGTCCGTTGACCTCTTTGCCGACCAACATAACAGGCACTGTACATAGTTTTGTTCCTGAACTTGAGTACTTGGCTTCCAAGGAGATGCCTCCCTATTCAAATGATCTGGAGAGATGGTGTATGCCAGGGGTAGGCAACCTTTTTGAGCTGGGGGCCGGCTTGCTGTCCCTCAGACAATTGGGGGGGGGGGTCGAAGCACCAAAAATAAATAAATAAAAATTAAAAAAATTAAAATTTAAAAATTTTTAAAAATATGCATGCACACTCTCTCAGCCCCAGAAAAGCCATGGCAAAACCCCTGTGGAGATTTTGCCAAGAAAACCCCAAGAACAAGTAATAACAACAGTAATTAATATCATCATGGCGGGCGGCAGTGGGGGGCAGCAGGACCTGCCTGGGGCTGGTCCAAAGGCCTCAGGGGGCGCATCCGGCCCCCGGGCCTTAGGTTGCTTACCCCTGGTGTATGCATTTCCCCCTCATCACACGAGTGGTTGCCAAGATAAGGACTGACTGCTCCAACAATATCCTCATCAACCCGTGGTGTCGAAGACAACCCTGTTGCACACTGCTTCTCCACCTGTCTTGAGATTAATTTCTCCGGCTTGAGCCACGTCTGCATCTCCAAACCCTCCACAAGGGCCAAGTCCGCCACCCAGAAATGGACAACCTTCCTCTAGTGACGTGGTGGATTCTTCCTTAGGAGACCTTCTGGA